TTCTTGTTTTTAAAGAAGTGTATATTTAAAATTTATTAAATAATAATGTTCCAACACTCGGCTATCACATTTTTAAAGATTCAAATGGTGACCTGCAATCGAAAATGGACACATTTTGCGATCTGCAGAATCACTGCCCAAACATTTGAAACCAGACCATACTTCACATCTAGATTTACTTAGCAGTATAGAGACAGAATTACATGATATACCCAGCAGGTCGGGCAGCGTAAGTGGAGAGATAGAGAGAAAGAGAGAACCTGGAGTTGACATTGTGGGTTGGCAGCTTTTCTGCAGAACAGAGGAAAGATAGAAGTGCAGTTGGTAGGTTCTGAGCAAGTGAAAGAAGTGGTGAAGAATAAAAAAACTTGCATTTATATAGTGCCTTTTACAACCACCAAAATGACATACATTTGTTATAAAATCACTTTGAAGTTTAGTGATTATTTTAATGTAGTAGTTGGTTTGCACTCAGTAAGCTCCTATAAAGAGCAATGTGATATCGACCAGGTAATATATTTTTTAAATAATTTGTGTATCAAAGGACTTGACAGCAGAGCTACTCCTTCAACCTTTCTCCATTACTCAGTACTCATGATCTGGTTGTGGTCTCTGTACCTGTCTGCACCCCATAAGCCTGAAGTCTGTGGTCTGTCAAAAATGTTTCTAATTCAGCCTTGAATAAACTTAAAGACCCCCTAGAACCGTAGAAAAATTACAGTCCAGAAAGAGGCCATTCAGCCCACTTGAATAAACAAACCTCCCATTCTAATCCTACATTACAGCCTTGGCCTGTAGTCTTGTAGGTTACAGTGCTTCAGGTGCAGATCTAGATTCCTCTTAAATGAATTGATGGTTTCCGCTTCAACCACCAACTGGACAATGAATTCCAGACACGTAGCTCCCTCTGGAATGTAAAAAGAGTTTCCTCAAGACTCCTTCAATCCTTCAATGGATCGCCTTAAATCTATGCCCCGTGGGAGTTGACTTTTCCCGTAGGGAAAACCTGTTTTCCTTGTGCACTGTCCTCAAATCCCTCATTATTTTGTACAGATCAGTTAAACCACCCATCTGCCTCCTCTGTTCTAAGGAAAACAATTCTAGCCTCTCCAATTTTTCCTTGTAGTTACAATTTTCAAGCACTGGCGACTTTTTTTCTAAATGGGTCATCTTTCACTGAAGCGCAGGAGGTTGAGAGGCGACCTTATGGAAGTTTCTAAAATCATGAGGGGTATAGATAGAGTTAATGGTAGTTGTCTTTTCCCTGGGATGGGGGATTTCAAGACCAGGGGGCACATTTTTTAAGGTGAGAGGAGAGAGATTTAAAAAAGACATGAAGGGGAAAGTTTTTCACACGGAAGGTGGTTCATATGTGCAATGAACTCCCAGAGGAAGTGGTGGATGAGAGTACAGTTATGACGTTTAAGAGACATTTGGATAGATACAGGAATAAGAAAGGGTTGGAGGGATATGGGGCAGGAGCAGGCAGGTGGGACTAGTTTAGTTTGGGGCTATGTTCAGCACAGACTGGTTGGGCCGAAGAGTCTGTTACCATGCTGTATGACTCTGTATTGCCATGGGACTTTTTACATCTATCTGAGCGGACTTTGGTTTAATTTGGTTTAATGTCTCATTGAAAGTTGTCACCTCTGACAGCACAGCACCCCCTTGGTACAACACTGGAACTTCAGCCTTGATCTTTTTCTTCATGGCAAAGCCCTGAAGTAAGACTTGAATCTATCGATTCTGAGTCTACTGTGCCCCTAACCTAGCCAGAGCTAACATACACAGTGCTGTCCATGGAATCTTGCTGTGTGTAAATCGCCAGCCATGTTTCATGCATTATGGGTGTGACTCTTCAAAAGCAGGTGTCAAGTCTTTACGGCATTGTGAAAGGTGCTACAGAAATGCAAGACTTTCCTTCTTTCTAAAAGCTGGAAATGGCATCAAGGTCCCCTTGTGAAAGAGTTCAAAGCTGCGCAGTACCCCTTGGGTTGAGGGTTGAACTGACCTCCAGGTGGCTGCCCTATACAGTCTTTTCTTAACTAGTCTGCCCATATTAACATGGGAGAAGAGCAGATTCTCCTTATATTCTGTTAGCCTGTCTACATGCCGTTCATTGGTATTGCTATATTCCCCACGATCAATATCCTGGGAGTCACCATTCACCAGAAATTGAACTGGGTGAGCTATTTATGAATACTGCAGCCACAAGGGCAGCCCAGAGACTAGGAATTCTGCAGTAATTAACTCGCCTCCTGACCCTCACTTCCCCAATAAAACAAACCTTGTCCACCATCGACAGGAGTGTGATGGAATACTCCCGACTTGTCCAGCTGAGTGCTGCCCCAACAACACTCCAGAAACTCGACACCATACAGGACGAAGCCTCCCACTTGATTGGCACCCCATTTTAACACCTTCAGTATTTACTCTCCACAAACACCTTCCAGACTCAGCTGGAATATTGTGTAAAGTTCTGGTAGCTGCACTGTAGGAAGGAGATGAAAGCATTGGAGAGAATGCAGAAGAGATTTATAAGAATAATTATGGGGAGGTGATGGCCTCGTGGTATTATTGCTGGACTGTTAATCCAGAGACCCAGATAATGTTCTGGGGACCGGAGTTCGAATCCCACCACAGCAGAGGGTGGAATTTGAATTCAGTAAAAATCTGGAATTAAGAGTCTAATGATGACCATGAATTCATTGCTGGGGAAAAACCCATCAGTCCTATACCTGGGCTGGCCTACATGTGACTCCGGACCCACAGCAATGTGGTTGACTCTTAACTGCCCTCTGGGCAATTAGGGATGGGGCAATAAATGCTGCCTACCCAGAGATGCCCTGTGAATGAATAAAAAAAGGAAACTTCAATTTTGAGGATAAGTTGGATTGCTTATCCTTAGAGAGGAAAAGGTCTAAGAGGAGATAGAAGTTTTCAAACTTACAGGGCGTGCTGGATAGATCAGATAAGGAGAAACAGTTGCCACTTGTAAAACAATCAAAAACAAGGGGACACATATTTAAAGTGATTTACAAAGGAGATAGATCTAACTGGTGCTTTTCACAGAAGTGTTACGTCGTTGTAGTCAGAGGCCATTCAACCCATTGTGTCAGTGCCAGCTCTCCAAACGAGCATCATGACTAAGTGCCATGGAAGATAGGAGCAGGAGTAGGCTGTTCGGCACCCCCCTCCTCGAGCCTGCTGTACCATTCAGCGTCATCAAGGCTGAGCGTCGAGCTCAATTCCCTAACCCGCCCTCCTCCCATGCCATTCTCCTGCCTTTTTGCCATATCCTTGCAGATTATTACTGTTTACACAATCGTCCAGAGCCCTCCTCAACACCTTGATTGAACCAGCCTCCACCAAACTTTCACGCTGTGCGTTCCTTATCCAAACGATCCACCAAGTGGAAATCTTTTTCCCCAATTGTATGTCCCACTTGACAGACTGCAGTCTTGCCAAAGTCAGTAGTTTTGAATGAAGATATGGATGAGCCATGATTTGATTGAATAGCAGGACAGGCTGAACAAGCTCACCCACTTCATGTTATAGAATAGATCTGTGACCCACGTGCACGTCTGGGTTTGACTGTGATGCAGTGCTAATATAACTGAACTAGTAATCCAGAAACCCAGGTTAAATGCCCTTGGAGCATTGATTCAAATCCCATACTTGATAGTAATTTAAATTTAATTAATGAAATCTAGAGCTGGAAGTTAGTCTCCATAATGGCAACATCGATTGTCATAAAAACCCATCTCGTTCACTCATGCGCTTTAAGGGAACCTGCCATCCTTACCCAGCCTCCAGAAGCACAGCCACACACAGCAATTGCCTCTTAACTGCCCTCTGAAATGAGCAAGCCACTCATTTCAGGGGGCAATTAGGCACGTGTGCTGAATGCTGGCCTTGTCCACATCCCATGAAATGCACCTTAAATATTAAAGATGTTGCCTCCTTTAACAGATTCCTGGTGGCTTTGTGACGAACTATTTGTATCTGATCGAGCTGGTCAGAGGCTGGGGGTTCTGCAGGATGGCTTCTGAAGCTCAGTGGTAGTGTCCCTAATCTGAGTCAGTGGACCCACCCGCTCCAGAGAGATGTGATACCATCTCTGATCAGACTGGTCAGAAATTATCTACCCTATCACTCTGAATGGGATATTTGTCAATCTCACAAACCTGTGGGTATTCTGCAGCAAGTAACTTATTTCCTTACTCCCAAAGTCTGTCCAAGGCACAAGTCAGGAGTGTGCTGGAATACTTCTCCCATTTGTCTGGATGAGTGCAGCTCCAACAACACTCAAGAAACTTGACACCATCCAGGACGAAGTGGCTTATTTTCTTGGCACCACATCCACTGCCAATGGCTAGTGATATTGGTACAATACCCTCTGCTTTACCTGTCTTGGGAGTGTTTGATGTGGACTGTGTCTAGGGAGCTTTACTGTCAGTTTAAAAGATTAGGGGGAGAGTTACTCTGTATCTAACCCCGTGATGTCACATCCCTAGGAATATCTGATGGGGACAATGTAAAGGGGGCTTTACTTTCAGTTTACATTTAGTTCAAAAGAGCAGAGGGAGCTTCATTCTGTATCTAACCCTTATTCCTAACTTGTGAGTGTGTGATGAGGGCAGTGTGGAGGGAACTTTATTTTCAGTTTTAAAAGGTAGAGAGAGCTTTACTCTGTAATCTTGTGCTGACACTCTCCTAAGAGTGTTTGGTGGCGGCAATGTGGAGGAGGCTTTACTCTGCATCTAATCATGTGCTGTCCCTGTCCTGGGAGTGCTTGATGGGGACAATGTAGAAGAAACTTTACTTTCAGTTTAAAAGAGTCGAGAGACCTTTTATTTGCATCTAACCCCATGTTGTCGCTGTCCTGGGAATGTTTGATGGGGATGTAAAGTGGAAAATGGGCCATTCTGAACACCAAAACTCCCCACTGAGATGAACATAAAAATCAGGTGGCATAAAGCACATCCAAAAGAAACAGGTAAGTCAAATTCATTTATTTATAATTAATGGTTACATGTCATGTGATAAAATCATATACTGTATAACTTAATGTATCTTGCTACTAAACTGAAAAATAAAGCAATGCTAAATATAAATTATACAAAAGCTCCTGTCTTCCAACATGGATTTCCGAATTCTAACTATATAACATGAACGTGAGTTTTGTTTCAAAGTGAAAAACATCTCAATTTCGATGTCAGCAAATTATATTGCCAGCTACAAGAGATGAACAGGACAGAAATCCTGGATCACATACTGACTCCTACTTGGATACAAGTTCCACACAAACACACACACACACACACACTCACTGGGTTACAGCTCTCTCTCTCTCTCTCTCTCACACACACACACACAGACTCTCACTGGGGTACAGCTCACACACACACGGATTCTCACTGGGGTACAGACTCCCACACATACACACAGACTTTCACTGGGGTATGGGATCTCTCACACACACACGCACACACGGATTCTCACTGGGGTACAGACACCCACACACACTGACTCTCGCTGGAGTTTGAAACCTGATTCTGAACGGAGACAGTTTGCCCTGATTTCGGTATGACTGCAGATATTAAAAAAAAAACAAACAGTCTATGGCAGACAGCATCAGAATGAAGAAACAATCTTTTGCGAAAATTTCCTGAGCAGCAGATTGAGCCAACAGGAGAGTCAAGGCCAATGTGAGTTTGTCAGTCTGAATTCGTGATGCACAAGGAAGCCATGATTGGCATGGGGCCGTGCAGCCAATCAATGGGGTCAGCTCCGATAGTGACCAGATACGACATTCCTGCCTGCTCTCTCCACCTCCTTCCTCCACTTTACCAATCCCTCCCTCTCATCCCTAACCCTACCTGCCCCACTCAAGGATTTGTGAAGTCGTGAGGCCACTCCAAGTCCCCCTGACATCCCCACCACAGAAGAAATCTGCTGACCTTACTTAACAGAGCCCGGTCTCTCAGCTCACTGCCACTTCCACACAGGACGGCAATAAACTGTTGACCTTGCCGGTGAACCGCATATCCCGGGAATGAATATTTTTACAAAAGAAAAAGCAGAACCAGGGAGCAGTGTTACCGAAAGTGTCTGCTGTTTATATCGTAATGTGGAAGGAATCTTGCAACCACTTGTCTCGCGAGTTCTGCGTCTGGGGCACTTTTAGGCTCTTGTGCACTGCCTCGTCCTTGCAGCGATCTGAGCAATCCTGCTCGGCCTCATACTCATCGTCGTCATCGTAATCAGCATTTTCCGAGACGTAGGAGTGCATGGATGAGGTCAGGTCCTGGTACAGACCCTTGTATTCCTGAATGGACTCGTGCAGCGACCACAGTTGGCAGAGGAGGGACATGTCGAGCTGTCGCAGGCCCACCTGTGGATAAGGAGAGACAAGATCGGGCAGAGGTGGGGAGATGTACAGTTTGATCTGGTGTATCAGGAAAAGGTAGGGGTGGCACAATCCTGAGCTTCCCAGCCCACCCCCCCAGTCCCAACCCCAGCTCCCATGGGTGCTCTCAGCTCCTCAGTGCCCATGACAAAGACCACAATCGGAGTTCAAGACTTTAGGGAAGAGGGTAGTCAATCGCTACAGGTCTTTACGTTTACTGGGCCCTAAACACAATCCTCGCCCTCCACCAGGCAGCTGCTGAATCAAACAGAAAGAAACAAAGTGCTCTTTCAGGCAAGCATCAACAACAAAAAAAATATTGGGAAGACATAGCTCACACAAGGCCAGGATAGGTGCAGGTTGTTCAGAGCACTCCCTGTGCTGAGCTCCAGCTCCAGGTCAAAATATATTTGCAAAGGAAAGGAAAAAGGTACAGCAGTAGTTTGTACGTGATCATGATCCGCGAGGCCCTAACCCAGTGGGAGTGTGTTTGTGGGAGCCCGTACCCAGTGAGAGTCTGTGTGTGTGTGTGTGTGTGTGTGGGAGCCTGTACCCCAGTGAGAGTCAGTGTGTGTGTGTGTGTGGGAGCCTGTACCCCAGTGAGAGTCAGTGTGTGTGTGTGTGGGAGCCTGTACCCCAGTG